GAGAGAGAGAGAGAGAGAGAGAGAGAGAGAGAGAGAGAGAGAGAGAGTCACCAGCTCATCCCTTCTGTCCCACATCTCTGGTTTCTTAACTCTGACTATCTGCCCTGGAGCACTGGGCTCTCTCTGTCCTTTGGCCTGTTTCTGGCCAAGGCAGATGCATGGGGCTTACCTGGGCCACACTCTGTTCTGTTAGGCCAACGTCATCAGTCTGTGGGGAAGGAGAATCACAGTCAGGGGGGAGAGGAGTCACTGAGTCCCAGAGGTGATGGCTTGCAGGCTGAGGGGGGCAGTAGTTAGCATGACCCAGAACTGCAGCTCTATCTCCACTTAGCCAACCAAGGTCCTGCAGCCTGTCATTGGGAAGCCAGGACCTCTGGTACCCCATCCTTCGTTGCTGGGGATTAAACCCAGGGTCTCACACATGCTAGTCAAGTGTTCTATCCCTGAGCTGCATCCTCAACCTAACTGAAGGGAGGCTGGTAAAGGGAACTAAAGTTGGGGGAAAGGTGTCATCCGGGCTGCAGGTGTGGAAAAGCCAAGCCAGAGCAGTGCATCCACAGTCCCCAAGGCTGCCTCCTGGAGTCATTTTGAGGATGCATTTGTTGCTCCGTCCAAGCTTCTCACTGGAGGGTGGGGAGGGGCTGCTTGTTTGTTTGTTTGTTTGTTTGTTTGTTATTTGTATGGGGAATGAACAGGAAGCTTTTCCTCTTAGCAACAGACACCCCGCAGCTGCCACCAATAACTGCTTCTAAGTGTGAAGCCTGGGTGGCCGGGCTTCCACCAGCGGAGCCCTAACAGCCTGATGCCCAGGAAGGCCAGGGGGAGTAAGGACAGGGAGGGCAGTGTGGAAAAGGTAGGGGTGGGGTACAGGAAGGCTTACCCTAAAATTCACTTTCTGGATCACTTGCTGGGGGTCACTCTCCAGAATCACACTGCAAGATAACAGAAAGTTTGGAGGTGGGTCAGAGATGGGACTCCCCTCCAACAAGCCACTTTCTGACTTTTCATGCATCCTGCAGTGGCTCTCTCCTCCGGGAACCTTCCCACAGGTGGTCCTGGGGCCACTCCCGTCCCTCCCCCTGGGGGACTCTCAGCTCTGTTCCCTCTGCACTTTATACAATGGTCCACCTCCGTGATCACCTCTGGGGGAGTACTCATCTGAGGGGCTGGTGAGGTGGTACAACCGTTAAAGGTGCTTGCCACCAAACCTGACGACCTGAGTTCGATCCCTAGAACCCACACAGTAGATGGAAAGAACTGCCTTGATCCACACTCAGTGCTCTGGCACACACACAGTGATCAAAGATAAATAATAATAATAATAAATGTAAAAAAAAATAAAACAACGGAGCTGGAGAGATGGCTCAGAGGTTAAGAGCACTGACTGCTCTTCCAGAGGTCCTGAGTTCAATTCCCAGTAACCATATGGTGGCTCACAACCATCTGTAATGAGATCTGATGCCCTCTTCTGGCCTGTAGACATACATGGAGGCAGAACACATAATAAATAAATTAAAAAAAAATAAAAAAATAAAAAAATAAAACAACAGAAATCAGGACAGCCTGGTCTAGATGAGCAGATGCTATGGAGGGACTGGGTCTTTTCACATTTAGAATCCAGCCATCAGTACACCACCAAGCAATAGCAGGCAGCTAATAAAACAGAAAGGGGGGCCTGGTGGTAGAGGTGGTGGCGGCGGCGGCGGCGGCGGCGGCTGCGGCGGCGGCGCACGCCTTTAATCCCAGCACTCGGGAGGCAGGGGCAGGTGGATCTCTGTGAGTTTGAGGCCAGCCTGGTCTACAGAGTGAGATCCAGGACAGAGCAACACAGAGAAACCCAGTCTCGAAAAACAAAACAAAACAAAAAACAAAGGGGGGAGTGACCATTCACAGTACCCCACCTCCCAGAGGCCCCAGCTCTCCAGTTGGGTGGTACAGTGCCACGGGAAGAATATAGCCTCTGAAACATCTCATGCACATGGTTTTAGATCCTGGCCCTTCTAATTCCCTTGGTGTGTGTCCTGAGATAAGTTACTAGAATCTCTGAGCCTCTGTTTCCTCCTCTGTAAAATGAGCAGATGTTTCAAAGATGCTATAATCCCAGCACCTCCGGCACTGAGGCAAGAGGGCAAGGGGGTTGGGGGTGGGACACTCAAGAGGTTTCTGCTACCATTTACCCCAGAGTCAGAACGTTCTTCTTCCCTGATTATTGCACCTCTTTCAAGGAATTCTACGAACCAACCTTTCTCATAAAGGCTCCCAATCATCTAGGAGTCTGCTAGCGTACTAATGAGAGGCAATATTTACTGAGGAAAAAGACAAAAAAAAAAAAAATCCCCAAATTACCGATGAAAACCATGGGCATTGTATGCATCATTTTGTATGACCCTCACAATCCTACGTGATAGATTCCTTTTATCCTCATTATAGTGACAGGGAATGTAGACTCAAGAAGAGACAGTGTCACACGTGTATCTAGCTGGCATCGAAGGGGGATCCTCTGGCTGAGGTCCTTTCAGAAAGGGACGGGTGTCTATATTCCTCCTCAGCCCTGGAGAACAATTGGGTTTTCCCAAACTCAACCTATCTAGCTGCCTGCTGTGGGTGACTCTCGGGCTACCCTCTCCTTTGGCTTGACTCTGGCTAGTCATGACAAGGGGTGAAGGTTGGAGCCCTATAGGGATACATGGGAGAAGGGAGGATGAGTTGGCCAGAATGCACCCAGCACTGAGCCCACAAAGGTATCCTCAACATCTCTTCTCTCTATCCCCTCCTCACCCGCCATCTACAATTTCATCCAGCACCAAGAAGGCTCCATCCATGTTCTCCAACAACCAGCGCCTCTCCACGTTCTTCCTGTGGGCAGACACAAGCACCTGAGCCGCCAGGAGGCCGCGAGGAACCATGACTCCTCTAAGCGAGGCATCTCCTCTCCTCCTGACACCCCTTCCCAAGAAGGCCTGGGCAGGAGAATAAAAGGTAGGGGGAGCAGAGCCGATGCCGGGGATCCTGAGCACAGAGCAGGCCAGGGTCATCCTAGGTTGGTTTGCCCAGTGGTTATCAACCTTCCTAACGCTGTGACACAATATGTTCCTCATATTGTGGTGATCCCCACCACCATAAAATTGTTTTGTTGCTACTTGATAAACTGTGATTTTGCTACTGTTATGAACCATAATGTAAATAGCTGGTATTCAGGATATCTGACATGCAACCCCTGTGAAAGAGTCATGGACCTTCAAAGGGGTTGCGACCCACACTCTGGCCCATGTAGCTGGCGTAGGTATCAGTGTTGATTGGGGATGCAGGGAAAACCAACTCTGAATTTAAAAGTTAAAGATACTGTTTATATCGGGGTGTGGTGGTACACACCTGTAATTCCTGTACTCAGGGGACTGAGGACGCAGGACTGAGGGGGAAGCCAGTGTGGGCTGCGTAACAAGACCTTCCTCTCCCTGCTCTCCCTGCCTTTGGAACTTGTGTTGCTGTGAGTACTATGACCTCAGGCAACTCAGTGTCTTGAGATTTGATAGCTGATCCTACCCTGTGCATGGCTCTGCCTGGGGCATCATGGAAGTCAGGGGCCTCGGAGGAAGCCAAGTTCCAAGGCTTGCAGAGCAGGGGAGAGGGCCTTGCCTCTGGACAAAGGGAGAGGCTGGGGGCTGGGGCCCTGGTGTGCACAGGGTCTCACTTACCTTAAGATGTGGCTCAAAGAGTCAAACAGGCAGGCCAGAACAGACATGAGCATCAGCTGAGGAGGAGGAGGGTGTGGGAGGAGGAAGAGAAAAGAGCTGACGCTGAGAGGTCCAAAGCAGGCCTCGGAGCACCTTGTGGGGGCCAGGAGGGAGCACTCCCTCTTCAGAGAGGGCGTGGCTGGAGGCTAGCAGCACTTTGACTTGGGAGGGGGAATTTCCCTAGGTTTGAGCTGAGGGACACTGGAGTGCTCCCCTGGAGGACATACTGGGTGTCTCCTTCTCTAAACATGTTTAGAAAGAACTAAACAACTCCCTACAGAAGGTGTGATGATTTCATTTCTCATTCCCAAAGGACCTGAGAACATTATGGGTATGTACAATTGCAGAGAGACCCATTCTGGCTGCCCTTCCACCCCCAGATCCTAAAGCAAGGATAGCAACAGGGAGCATCCAGAACCCACCTCCACCCCAGGACAGACCCTCCTTCATCACCCAACCTCTAAATTCACCTCGTTCTCAGAGGAAGAGCCCACCACATACAGGAGGAGGTCAATGCTGCTCTTGTAGACGATGGTCATGCCCCCCAAAAATGCGATCTCACCTAGAAGCAGGAAAGCTTTCAAATCAGCACAGGTTGGGGCTAGCCTGGCCTCCATTCCCCAGGCCTCTCCCTTTGTTTCCTACTTCCTGTTTCCCGAGGAAGTCCAGTCAGACCACCACTACTTGGAGGCTGCTCTGTGTGTCCTTGGTCCCATCCCAAGTGTTATGTCTTGAGAGGGCTTCCTGGTGAGAAGTCAACAAATCCAGCCTGCAGCTGACCTCCCGCCCACCCTCCTATCCCATACAATGGCCTGGGACCAGATCCAAGTGCGCGTAGGGGGTCCACAGCACAGTTGGGAGGGGAGGGGTGGGGGGTGAGAGTGACGGGCAGTGAAGGTCCCAGGATGAATGAAAGAAAGGAGTGGAAAGCAGCTGGGGAGGACAAAGGGCTTCAGAGGAGAAGGGAATGGCCTGTGGGTGTGGGAGGCCAACAAGGACAGATGTGTCCAGGTGGAGAAGGTGACAGGCAGTGCGGCCAGTCATCTGGGAGTGTCATGGGGGAAGGCAGGCGTTACTTTCAGCGCGGCTGGTCTTGTTGAAGACATTTTTCTCGAAAACCATCTGCTCCTTCGTGGAGGGAAATGTATCATCATAATACTGTGAGAAAGAGAAGGAGAAAGGCGATCGCCATTGCACGGAGCCAGCTCCATCCTTGGGAGGGGCTAGCAGGGAGTGCTGGGGGCTGGCTAAGCGGGACCTCCTTGTCACCTCCCTCCAGGCCTGTCTGCGTCCAGGTCCCCATAAACAAGTTCCAGGCAAAGAAAATCAAAGTAGAGAAATATCGGGGCTGCCTTTGGAGTCTTCATCTGGCTTTCTCCCTCTCTCCCTTCCTCCTTCCCTTTCTCCCTTCCTCCCCCTCTCCCTTCCTTCCTTCCTTCCTTCCTTCCTTCCTTCCTTCCTTCCTTCCTTCCTTCCTTCCTTCCTTCCTTCCTTCCTTCCTTCCAGCACTGCTGGGGTTGCAAACCAGAACTTCACACATGCTAGCAAAGTGTTGCACCACTGAGCTGCACCCCAGCTTGTTTTCTCTTCCCCGGCCCTTCTTCCCTCCCTCCCTCCCTCCCCCCCTCCCTCCCTCCTTTCTTCTTTCCCTCCCTCCCTCCCTCCTTCCTTCCTTCTTTCCTTCCATCCTTCCCTCATTTTCTTGAGGTGCTGGGTTTTGCCGCTAACCTATATTCTCAGGCCCCTGTCTCAATTATTTTGCTTTACTTTTGAAACAGGGTCTCACTGTGCCACCTGGCTAGCCTGCTATATGTAGACCAGGTT